CCACCCCGCCCCGCCCGTCCCTCGCCCCCCCTCATCACCACCCCCAAGGTTGGCGTCGCCATCGCCGCCACCCCCAGCGACATGGTGGCCGCGGCGGCCGACCTGATCATCCTCAACGGCCGCGGCGTTACCAACCTGCCGTGGCTCTTCAGGATGGCAGACCGCACCCAGGCCGTCCTCAAGCAGGTATGCTCCCCGCGCCCCGGCCGCGCGCCCGTGCCCCCCTCGGCGCCGACACCACCGGGTCTCAACCTGCCCTGCCCGAGCGCCGACCTGCACTGGTGTGAGCGGCGCGGGGCCTTGATCGCTCCCGCCATCATCGACGGCGCGCTTGCGCTCCTGCTTGCCCAACGCTCGCTGAAAATTCCCGGCCCCCTCCCCTCCTCATTTACCAACCCAGAACCTGGTGCTTTCCCTGGTGTCTGTCGCCGTGGCCACGCTGCCGACGCTGGCCGGCCTGTTCCCCCTGTGGCTGGCCGTGACGCTGCACGAGGGCTCCACCCTGCTCGTCGCCCTCAACAGCCTCCGCCTGTTGGTGGACTCCCCACCTCCGCCGCCGCCAAAGCCGAAGCCGGCGCGCCAAGCGCCCGCGGCCGCTGCCGCGGCGGCGCCGGCGGCCGCGCCGGCGGCTGCTGAGGAGGGCGGGCCGCCGCCGGCGGGGGTGGCAGGGATTCGCAAGGAGGCGTCCCTCGACTCGTCTGAGCCGGAGGGCTGGGACGCCAGCAGCAGCAGCAGCACCAGCAGCACCAGCAGCAACGGCGGCGGCGCCCGCTCCGCGAGCGACGCGGGCGGCAGCGACGCGGGCGGGACCGAGGACGGCGCCGGCGACGGGGCCGGGGAGGGCGCGGGCGCGGCCGCCAAGGTGGCGGCGCGCGGCGGCGTGGTGGGGCACGCGCTGCCAGGAAAGCAAGGGCCGGCCGCGCCCCTGCAGGCGGCGGCCGCGCTGCACGGCATCGTTGCGCAGCGCCACAAAGACCGCTGGGCGTGCGCGCCGATCAGCGCCGCGCCCGCGGGCAGGAAGGGCGCCCACTGCTCGCACTGCCGCGCCACGATGTAGCTTGGTGGCGCGCGCGCGGCGCAGGGTGGCGTCCCTGTCTTTGGAATGTGCTGTGTCGAGCTTGCAAGGACTCAGCCCGTGGTGGTCTCTGTGGGGGGCTCACTTGTGATGAAGAATGAACAGGCATAGCAGGTTTGTGAATGTCCTGGACAGGCGCTGGCGGCATTGAGGTTGTACTGCACATACAAATAAGGTGGTTGCGGTGAGGATGGTTCACTCGCATGCTGCTCCAGCGGTGATGATGACTCACTCGCATGCTGCTCCCGCCCTCCCATTCCGGCTTGCTTAACTCCCCGCAGCCCCAACTTGGCACGTGTTCTGGTATGAGTTGTTATTGGTGTTACTGAAGAGTTGAGAGTAGGTTTATAATACATAGCCTGTGGTTCTGCGACTTGGTCATAATCGAGGATGAAACGGCTGGCAGCACAAACAAGCAGTCCAGGGCGAGAGGTACGACGCCGCCGCTTGGTAGGGCAGCCGCACGAGTGGCTCAAATCGGCCCGGCCTCAGGGCGGCCAACGAACTCACTCTAAGAAAGTTGATACTGATACTGATGCACGCAGGGGAAAGAGCTGGCGAGACGTAGTGTCAGCCCCGGGCCAGAAGGCCAGGCCAGAACGGACGCAGGCACCCGAGCGCGGGCCACCGCGCGCTTTGCAGTTATCCGAAAAGCGGGCGGCCGCCACTGGCCCGGCACCACCCAGAGACATAGGCCAAAGGGCGGCGGCGGTGCGTGCGGCGGGCAATGCTGTTCTCCCACTGCCAGGTGTCGCCTCGGCCCGTGCTACGGGTAATCGCCCCGTCCTCAATCAACAGCCACGCTGTACCCACCCGGCCCAACACAGGTTTAAGAGAAGCGTCCTGCCCCAACCCCACCCCGAAACCCCAGCAAAGTGCCATCCCTGGGACGGGCGGCATGTTCCTCGTGCCTCGCGTGCCGGCTGGGGGCTGCGCGCCGCGTCTCACAGCGGCGGCTTGGCACCCCAGGGCCCTCTCGGGGCTCTCGCGTTTTCGGCCGCTGCCGCGCGCGGTGGCGCTGGACAGGGTGGGCCCTTCGCTCGCACGCACAGGCGGCACACGCAAAAAGGCCGCGTGCGCTTGAATTCGGGTCGGTTGCTTCGCTTCGCTTATGCTAGGCTGCTGCGGGGTGTGGGGACAGGAACGGACTTGCTAACACTCACATGTCGTGAACTCACGAGGACAAAGGATGCACGCGCGGGGGTTGCGGGCGATCCAGGGCAGCACAGGGACGGGATGGGCAACGCACAGGGGTGATGCAAGGGGTGAAGGGGCAGGGCCCCTTGCAGCGCCTGCACACTTGTAGGAACTTTTTGTTCCGGGGAAGGCTCGTACATGTGGCACAAGGTAGTGACGTGAGCAGCTTTGCGCGTCGCTATGAACGGCTGCCGCCTGTGTGGGCGTTCGACTCGGGGAGAGAGAAGGCGGGGTGCTACCTAGGAGTCGCAGCGCCGGGATGTGGCTTGCCCCCCAAAACAGAGGACGGCCGACCGCTCACCCACTCTACAGCGCGTGGGGCCGAGCGCGGCGGGCCCAAAGAGGGCCGCAACACACAGCCCTGCTCTGCCTGAGCTACTGATTGCGCAAAGCGGGCGCGGCCAAAAGAGCCGCGGGAAAGATCACTGGAAGAACAAAGCGACTCCGCAAAAGCTCCAGCAAAGGAGCGGAGAGCCCTCCCAAAACAGGCAGCGCCGCCCCCCCCGCCGCCGCGTGCACCAGAAGGCCGCGCGCGGCCGAGAGCGAATGTAAGCGAGAGCCCGCCGTCGGGCTCAGTCGTGCGGCCAGTGGTCCGAGCCGTCGCCATCAAGGGTGCCCATCACGCCGGGCGCCTGCAGGTCCGCCGCGACAGTGTCCAGCCCCGCGGGGGAGAGGTCGACGCTGATGTTGTGCCCGAGCCACGCCTCCAGCGCGAGCACGTCGAGCGCGGCGCGGCGGTTGGGCGCGTGGCCCGCGCACAGCGCCTGCAGCGCAAAGGCCGCGGCGGCCTGGCTGTTGTGCTGGAC